AGGGGACACCATGACAGAAGGGCATGGAGTGCAATGTTGTTTTGTTCACAGAGGTTAGGAAGCAAAAGAGGGGAAGAGTGCCAGCAGTAGGGACAGGAGACTAGGCATAAAACCCAAGGTCATGCTGAGGACCATGACCACCCCTGCACACTAGAAATATGCTCCATCAGTCTCTGGGGCAGATGCCAAAGCCAATTAAGTTGAAACTCCACCCTAACTACCACATCCCACCCCTTTTCAATTTGCAACCCAAACACATCTCCTTAAACCACACATAATCTGCAATTAAAGACAAGAGCAAGTCCAGGAGTCTATCTTACATAATACAACTATTTTGCACACAGTCAGAAACACAATAATCCCTTCTCCAAAGTCTTAACAGTTTCAGCATTTTAAAAAATCCAAGAATCGAAGTCTCTTCTGAGACTCAAAGAATGCTCTTAGCTGTGAATCTCTGTAAAAATAAAAATCATGTCACATAATCCCAAGGTACAATGGCATAGGGTAAACATTCCCATTCCAAAATGGAGGAACAGAGAGATGCAAAAATATTAGACCTAAGCAGGTCCAAAATCCAGTAAGGCAAACATTATGTCCTATCCAGGACATGCAGTGGCACCCAGGGCATACAGTGGTAAAATGTGATTTTTAATGGACTTGGATAACCTCACCTTTATGGCCTTGTTGGTTACAGTCTAATGGTCTCTCTCTTGGGATGGCTCCATTTACATCGCACAGCTTTCCTCAGTAGACATTCCATTTCCTGGCATCTCTAACTTGCTGAGGTCTCCATTGCACTTTCAGCTTCACTCTTACAGTTTCATGCACTACCCTCTTGGGCTCCTTGCCTGGTCTTCTAGGTCTTCCTTTGAAATTTGGGTAGAAACCTCCCTGACCCCATAACTCTTGCACTGTGCATGCCAGTAACACCAGCACCAAGTGTACAATGCTAGCTACAAAGCAGTAGCTAAGCTCCCTTAGATCATAGCTGTATTGGATGCTGAATGTTTGGATGGCTGAACATAGTGAAATGAATCCTAGTAGGCCCTTCTCAAGCAGAAGCCACACAGACTTTCTTCTCAACAGTACGCTTAACATTTCTGCTCCCTTGAATCTGTAATAGGTGAGGCCTTCCTGATTCCTGACATGCCCTCAAGGCATCCTTCTTCTTTTCCCGGTACAAAGTACTTGTTTTTTGTTTTTTGATTTTTTGAGACAGGGTCTTGCTATGTAGTTTGTAGTTCAAGTTAGCCTTGAACTCACTGTGTAGCCCAGGCTGGGCTTGAACTCAGTTGACTTCAAACTTGTGGCAATTCTCCTGCCTCAGCCACTGGAGTGCTGGGATTACAGGTGTATGCCACCACAACCAGAAGTGCTTGGTTTCTTTTTAATGGTGTTAATCTTTTTAGCAGCCATACCTTTTTTGGCCCCAATTTTATTCATGGTTCCTTCTGGGCCAAAATTCAAGTTTTTCAAACTATCTTGCCTGCTTTTATCACTCAATTCTCACTATAAACCTGGCTAAAAGCAGCCTGCAGTACTCATGTTACCACCTGAATTTTAGACTGTTTTGAATTCCTCCACCAGATTAATTAGTCCACTACCCTTAATCTCAGTTTCCCATGAAGTATCAGACATGGGCAAAGTGTAGACAAATTTTTAGGTACAGTATAACAGACATGGCTGCTAGTCCAACTGTCAAGGAAGTTCTTATTCTCAACTGAAACCTCCTAGGCCTGCACTTTACTGTCTGCATTCCCATCAGCATTCTGATCTTCTGAGCTCTGATCAGAATTACCTATCAGATTCTGTTTACTGCATTCTAAGGCTTCTCTAGCCTACTTTTCCATGTCTTTCCCAACTCCTCCCACAAATCAGTTCCAAAGGCTTCTGTCTTAGTCACTTTCTTGTTAGTGGGATGCAGTACTTGACACTCATTATTTAAAGGAGTGAAGGGTTATTTTGGCCATTCTGTAGTCCACAGTCAGCCAGCTTCAAGGATGACATAGCATAGTGGAAGGGCCTAGAACATGGGAAAGCTACTCACTTCATGGAAGCCAGGAAGAAGAGAGTACAGGGAAAAGCTGGAGAAGGAGATATCCCTTTCTAGTTTTTGCTCACAACAAATTGACTCTTCCCATCCAGTCTCACCTCCTAACAGCACATTTAGTTTTGGATTAATCAATGGATTATTCCACCAGTGAGTACAGCACCCCTATGATCCAATCACCTTCCAAATGTCCAACCTCTGAACACATGAAGCTTTGGGGGGAACATTCATATCTAAGCCATAATAGCTTCTAACTGTATGGTAAGGTAAAGTCACAACACCAATCCCCACTCCTCTGGTACCTATATTTTGCATTGGTCAGCTTTCTTGTCACTGAGTCACAATACCTACTAGCCGTAACTTAAAAGAGGAGAGGTTTAATTTGCTCAGTTTCAGTCCATGGTCAGCTGGCTCCAAGACAGAGACATCATGGCAGAAGGTGTGTGGAGAAAAGTTGTTTAGTTTGTAGAGACCTGGAAACAGGGAAGAGAAAGAGTACCAGAGCACAAGGGGCAAGGAACCAGACATAGACCCCAAGACCACACCTCCACGACCACCTAGACACACTTAAAAGTGTGCTCTACCAATCTCTGGGGTGGATGCTAAAAAAATCAAGTTGAAACTCTACCCTCACCTCTACAACCAGCAAGTGACAGCCCCTTTTAGAACACTAACAATGTGTTTCAGATACTATGGCTGCATAACAAAGCATATATCCCAATGCATGACATTCATTTATCCAGATCACGGGTTTGTGGTTTGTGATTTCAGAAAGAGTCCAGAAGTTATGGTTTGTCTCTTTTTCATGATGTCTGAGGCCTCCGCTGGGCACTCTGCAGACAGGGAACTCTGCAGGTTCCTTCACTCCCATGTTTTATAAGAAATACTACAATAATTGTTGGCTGAGATCTGAGCTGGAGCTGTATCCTGGAACCTGTTATAGCAGTTACAGAGTTCCATTAGGCTGCAGGAAAAAGGACAGAAATGCCCCTCTTAATGGAAGAATGTGGGTGTCACTTTGCAAAAAGAGTATATGAGCTGGGATGTATGTTTATGCCACCATATTTGGAAAGTATAATATCTAGACTACGTGGGTAGTGTAGGCAGCTTAGATGAGTAGTTGGGCAGCTTTGATGGTCTCTCATTCCTCAAAAAACATAGAGGGTCCAGGTATACTTACATTTGTGTTAGAGATGGATGGACTACAAATACATCTCAGAATAGAAAATCGCTACCTCACTGTGGATCACTGTGACTCTCTAGTGTTTATTACCAGAAAGGATTGTTTCAAAGCTGATGTCAAGGATGGCACTTGGTAATTTCTAACATCTGTCCTAATGCAAAGCACGAATATTTACTGTCGTAGTTCCATTACTTCTTCCCCATGAAGCCACACCTGACCCCACAGCCAGGAAAGGACCTAGATTTTCATGCACACAGCCAGGCAAGAGAGAAAGCTTGTCAACACCTTTTGGTAGTGCTTCAAACAGGTACAGCAGAAGAGTTAACAGCTGCCTTTCCTGCGTCTTCCAAGAGAAGACCCTTGGGAAAGATGCTAATATTTGTTTATAAATCCCAAATGTGTAACCTTCTCTAACCTCATTAGTGAATTACAAGTAAGAAGCCCTTTGGTGTTAGTTAAAAGTGGCAGTCTGTGGCACTGTGTATCTCTCCCAGTGGAGCAAGAGGGAGGACTGATGCTTCTGATATAGTTCATGGTCCTACAAGGACTGTTCTGGTTCCTGAATAGATCAAGGGCCATCCTGACAATCACTCTCCTAGGGATTAATTCCAGATCCCGTGTCCCTCGTTGTCAGTCTGGCTACAAGGTCTAAGGCAAGTCCTAAAATGTTCCCTTTTGCTGATGCCCATTAAATAGACAATTGACTCCCCCGTTAAAGTGATTCAATTAGGAAGGGTTCAGGAGGCGGGTGCTAACTGCCGGAGAGTGTCCCGGAGGCCTGAATGGAAGCTCTTCTTCCCTGGCCCTCTTGCTGCTTCACAGCAGCTATAGGATAGAGCTCATTTGGCAGGAATGGCTGGGCTGCACCCATGAGCTGGGGACCAGGACAATTGTGGTGACCTCCAGAACTTCAGGTGGCTGGAGACTATAGTATGTACACAAGATGGGAGCAGCCTCTGGGTCAGCAGAGAGGGGCCAGCTTTAGATTTGGCTCCTGTCCAGTTACCTAAAGCCTGTAAACCTCTGTCTCAGCTTCTTCCTCTGATCACCTGGCAAAGTGAGGGACATCACCTCTGACGTTTAGGAGGGCCTCAAGGATGAGTTTGTTTCTGTTGCTAATTTTTAATTCTTACAGGAAGTCTAGAAGCATGTTTTTGCCTACAAATGCTGCTTTCTCTTGCCTGTTGATAGGAACAAATCTCTGCCTATACCCCCAAATCATTATTTTAAGAGTCTGTGGGAGGTCCCTCAGCAAGCCAGCTGCCCCTGAACCTGGCTGTCTGGAAGCAGCAGTGGAACACTTCTCTTAGCTTTAGCTTGGCTTGTCCTTAAAAGGTGGATTCCTTACCCTTTCCTTAAATCTCTACCATTTCTACTCTAAAAAATTTTTTAAAACACCAATAACACATGTGAGAAACAGGTCCAGAGAGGTACTATGACTTTACCAGGGTCACACAGCTTGAAAGTGCAAAAGGCAGGAGGGTTTAGCTGCTGCAGTCTGAATATAACAGGGTTGAAGAGAAACCCAACCCCATCTCCTCCTCCCTCGCCTAAAGCCACAAAAGGAAAATCATTTCCTATTCCTGGAGCCTCTGCCAGCCCTGAGAGACCGAGTAAAGAAGAAAAGTTTCTAAATATACCAGGATGATCTTTTCCGGGTTCTCAACTTGGTTGTGTTGTTTGACATCAGTTTCCCCCCATGATTCTGGGAAATGCAAGTGTGGGACCTAAGCAGTGGCTGCTGTTTGTAGGCTGGATACCTAGGTACTCTAAGGAATTTGTGTTTGTGTCCGATGCTGTGCGCTCAGACTTGACCATGTTTGGGCATAGAGGCTCAACCCACATAGGACCAAAGGCTGCTTCCCTGGAGCCAGCTGTGAGGCCAAACTTTCTGCGGCAGCTCTGAGGTCTCTTTTGGGGTGGGGGTAGGAGGCTGGGAAGAAAGAAACTATCAGCCGGCTGAAGAGCCCCAGGGAAGCAGGGAACTGTAAGTACTGTACCTGTGAGCTCTGGGAAGTGGTTTTCCAAGGCTGAGAGCTGGAGGGGAGAAGGATGGAGAGAGTGGTCTGAGATGGGGTGAGGAAGGGGTAGTGAAAATTTCCAGCTCTTGGGCTGACAACTGGCCCACTGTGGGCTCAGGAGGAGCTGGTGTCAGGGCCTATGCACAGTCCTCAGTTGGGGGTGGCACACCGGCCAGGTTGCTCTGGGAGTTCAGTGCCCTGGCCCTCCGGACCCAGCTTCTAGAGTGGTCAGATGATAACGGCTTGGAGGTAAAGACCAGTCTTGCCACCAGTTATCCCATGCAGGGATGAGATAATAAATCGGCTTGGCAAGGATGCTTCATGCTTCTGCTCCCAACTGCCATGGTTTTCTTTGTTAATAATAATATTTATTAAGTGCTTTTGCAGTGATAAATGAGTGATATTCAATACATCATAAGGTCTTGAGGCAGGTAGTATCATTCCTGTTTACAGTCACATGGTTGCTAAGCAGCAAAGCCAGGATTTGATCCCATGTCTGATGACCTCAGCCACCCTTTTCCCACACTCCATCAAACCCTCAGTGTACTCTATTCCCGGTCCTTCTAAGGAAGAGGACAATAACCCAACTATCAGATCATCCAGGACTCTTCCTTTGCCTTTTTCCGTCTTTCCTAAATCCAGCTCAGACCTAGAGTGACCTTTCTGAATAGGCTTCCCCATCCCAAAAGTTCAGAAATACTAGCCTCTTTCAAAACTGGGATGTTCTGGGAACTCAACTGAAATCTCCTTTTGTTATTGCTGAGAACTACTTCTTCCTGTCTGGCTGGCGGGATAATAAAGGTTTTCATGGTTCCTCCTTCTAGAAGGTTTTTGCTGTGGATGCTGAATTCCAACTTCCCACCTAAAAAAAAAGAAAACTTGTTTCTAAACAGAGCTCCATGCATGGGAATAGGTGTAGGAAGATTTATCATGACCCTGAAACCTCATAACCCCACAGGCAGCAGTCCCATCATGGCATTACAGACAGTGGGATCTGGACAAGCTGGAGGTTCAAGACTACTTTGTGACCAAGAGGCTCCCCCGTTTCCTTCCCCTCTGAGCACCCGGAACTGGTAAGACCAGGGCTCCTGCCTTCACAGCCTCAGGAGTGCCCGGGAGTCTGGCAGGACGCAGGAAGTCATCAGTAGAGCAGGTTGCCCCTGGGAGGAGGCTGATTAGCTGGAAGGAGCCCTCCCACAAGGGACCCCAGCAAGTGCATGTCAGCCTCCCCAGGATAAAGAGTTTTGCTAAGGGCACTGTTTATAGGTTCCTAAGATGTAATTTCCCATTCCACCCAATGTCCCACCACCCATTTATGTCTCGTTGTTCCTGGACCAGATGTCAGGGACAACTGGAAGTCCCTGGAAAGCAGGCCATTAAGGCCTCTGGCACATTCAGGTGATCATACTGCTCTACCTATGAATACCCGGATGGACTTGATAAACTGACACTAGATAGAAAACGGTGTGGCTTTCCCACTTCACCAGGCCAGAAAACAGAAGGAAAAAGAATTTAACAGAACGTCTGTCTTTGGCAGGGGAAAATTTTGCCCACTGTGACTTTGTAACGTCTCTATTAGGGAAGACATATCATCATTGGATGCCATCTCTGTCAATCAAAAGGGAGAGGGACCAGCCCACAAGAGATGGCAACATTGTTGTACCCTTGGTGACTGAGCTGGACTCTGTTGCTCAGGACAGTGCAAGGAGGAACTGGCTGGGCTGGGGAGGGGATCAAGAACCTGGGAACGAGGGCTGGGGATTTAGCTCAGCGGCAAAGCGCCTGCCTGGCAAGCGTAAGGTCGTGAGTTCGGTTCCCGGTACAGGAGAACCCCCCCCACCGCCCCCCGCCCCCGCCAAAGAAAAACAAAAAACAAAAAATACCTGGGAATGGACATTTGAAACAGCCCAGCAGTTAGGTGAGAAGCCTGAAAAGAGAATAAGGCACTCTGCTAAAAATCTCTTTTGGCTAATGCCTGTCTTCTGGACATGCACTAATTTATAAAAGTAATGTGCGTGTTATTTTGGGGACCTGGTAAAGAAAATAAAATCTTTCCTGATATCTAGCTAAAATCTCTCCTAAAATAGAGGATCACAGAGGATGGAACCCATGGCTCTGGTATTTTGAGTAGCAATACATTAGATAAACAGAAAATAACCACAGAAATGTTTATTGAAAGGCCCTGGGCAGCTTGCAGACTGCATGGGAAAGCTACATGGGGACCTCAGCTGGGCAGCTGTGTGGCTTCAGGTAGCACAGACTGGGGCTCTTTCTTGAAAAGGTCTGTCCAGAATCATGCTCCTAATTGAGTGTTCAGTGGACCTGGGTGGGTGGGGCGTAGGATGGGGACCTTTGCTTACTTCCTGGGGTAGCCCAGGAGGAAAATGAAGGGCTGCAGCCACAAGAAGGGGGAGGGGCGCTGCAGCAAGTTCTTTCTGCTCTGCTTTTGCCCAGGGTGGCTTCATCCCTGACATAAGAAAAAGACCCCTGAGGCATGAAGGGGACAGTCTCTCTTATAGGGAGGAGATTACCTCCTCTGGTAATCTGCTTTCTGGGACCCTCTTCCCTTTCTCTGCATGCTGCCCCCAGCCAAGCCAGCCTGGCACTAGAATTCTTTCTCTGTAGAATTGTGGAATGATCTAAGTTTCTCTAGGAGATGAGTGACCCTGGAGAAAGTGCATGGCTTGCTCCTGGGGTCCTACGGTCACTGTAAGAAATGGTCATAAACCCGATGGCCAGAAATAACAGAAATCTACTATCTCACAGGCCTTGAGGCCAAAACTCCAAAGTTACCATGGGTCTATGCACTCCCTCCAGAGGCCCATGGTTTCTTGCTCCTCCAGCTTCTGATGGCTGTCAACACTCCTTGGCTTTTGGCCATATCACTCCAATCTCTGTCTCCCTGGTTTCATCACCTTCTTGTCTTCTGTTCCTAATTTCTCTTTGCCTTCCTCTTGTAAGGACTTCTGTGATTACCTTTACAGTCTACATGCACAATCCAACATAATCTCTACATCTCAAGATCCTTCATTTAATCATTTCCGCAAAATTGTTGCCATATATAGTAGCATCTATGGCTTCTAGCAATTAGAACATGGACATCTGGGGGGCCATTATTGTGCCTATCATACGCAGTATGACTTGGACAACCTTGGACATGGCACTTTACCTTTCTGAACCACAAGTTTATCCTTTGCAGAAGAGTGATGATGACATCTGTCAAAGCTGGTGAGAGGATTTAAGGGAGGGTGGTAAAAAAAAAAAAAAAGCCCTCTGGAAGTTGCAAAGCTCTGTGTATAAGCAGGATTAGCTCTGGCACTTGACAGCCCTCCCTCTCACCTGTCCCTGCTCCTATGGTTTACCTGTCACTTGGCCTAATTTCAATTCTGTTGCCTCTGTGGCCCTAGCAATGACTGCTGCCCTCAGACAACATGGTGAAGAAGCTGGTGATGGCCCAGAAGCGGGGAGAGACACGAGCGCTTTGCCTGGGAGTGGCCATGGTGCTGTGCGCTGTCATCACCTACTATATCCTGGGCACAACAGTGCTGCCTCTCTACCAGAAAAGGTACTGAACTCCCCTGCCTGCCGATGCCTCTCTCCTAAGGCTCTGGGACCCTCAAGGAACTCTAGCCTTCTCCCTACCCCTCCCCCACCCCACCCCGGGAAGGAAGGTGAAAATAATCCTCATTCTGAGGGTCAAGCGTCCAAGAGCTGGGGCGGACCTGAGTCTTGCAGCTTGGTAACTGGTGGTAATGGAAGAAGGATCTGAGCAAACCCTTCAGTGCATGTTTAATCTCAGGATCTCAGGGGAATCACAGAGATTGGCAGCTCATCTGCAGTTTTCTCCCTTTTGAAACATCCTGGTTAGGTGGACATTCATCCTCCTGATGAACACCTCAGGAATGAGGAACTCACTACCTACTTGAATACACCATATCATGTTTAGAAGTATCTGTACTGAGCCACTATCTGCTCCTGTGGAACTCCATTTGGGCATCTAGGAGAATGTTCTATGTCCTGCATAGACAGTAGGCATAGACAATGTTCTATGTTTCCCTGACATGTCAACAACTGCTCTGGCCTTCAAGAAGAGCTACAAAATTCCTGATTCATGTTCTGTTTGGAACAAACACAGGTGGCATTCAGCCTGTCCTTAGGAGGAATCTCAGACCCTTCCCCTGACCCTACGATTCCTCCATGTGCCCCTCCTGTCTGGCAACAGGCCTTTTGTACAATAAACGTGGAATGAGTCACAACTGACTTGATTACGTGTTAAGGAGTCTGTTGGCCTCTCCTGACTGCACTGTCCTCACTTTTTACAACCCTGGAGGGATGCCATGCTGGAATCTTACCCAAGTGAGGCACTGCTCAGAGCATCTGGGAGCCTCCCACACATGATCTCCAGATTAAACTGCATCCCTCCGGCCTCCCCACCACTGCACAAATCAAGCCCCTCCTGCAACTGCTCTTTTCAGGAGAAACAGCACAGACTCTGGAGCCACTCAGACCAAGCGTTAGGTCTTGAGTGGCCCCAGACAAGTTGCCTAGCCTACCTGAGATTCTCATCCACCTCTGTAAGATGAAGAGGATGTGAACTAGAGTCTCAGGTCGGGCTGCACATCAGAACCACTTTGCGGAGGTTTTAAAAAGAAAACACACAAAACTCCCTGAGAGGTTCATTGTGACGTGGATATGAGAATCTTTTTAAAAGCTCTCTGAGTTTTTGGGTGAGTAGCCAGGGTCAAGAACCATGTATGTAGATGATGTCCAAGATCTCAACCATCTCTGGTATGCTGATCTTACTATTCCTCCCTATGCCTGAGGACTCTGGGGTCATGCATCTTTAGTGCTGCATGATACAGCTGCGTGATCCAGCCCTCAGTCTCTCTAAGGCTTCTCAGGGACCTAGGGCTAGAACGAGGGGCCCTGTATGTCAACATAGTTCTAAAATATGTGTGTGTGTGTGTACATGCATGTGTGGTTTCCCTAGCGTGTGGACCCAGGAATCCACCTGCCATCTGATTGAGACCAACATCAGGGACCAGGAGGAGCTGGAAGGCAAGAAGGTGCCCCAGTACCCATGCCTGTGGGTCAACGTATCAGCTGTGGGCAAGTGGGCTGTACTGTACCACACTGAGGACACTCGGGACCAGAACCAGCAGGTACTAAACTGGAGGAAGGATACGTGAGCCTGTCCCTATCTGGTCTCCATGGCTGAGAAATATTAACTCACTTGAGCAAGGCATTGTTGCTGGCAGGAGGTCAAGCTAGAGACCTGGGTTTGAATTTGCCACTGGGACAGGCCACATGGTCCTTGGGACCCTCAGTTTCCATCTTTGTCAAATGCGGCACCAGAGAGTGCTGTGATGAAGTGAGGGACACTGAGTAATGTGCCAAGCTCGGTGTCAGGTGGATAGCAGGAGCTCAGAGCAGAAGCAGCGTTTATAGTGTAGTGTTGTTATGCCTGTTCCATCTGAGGAGTCAAAACAGAGGCCACACCCAGAGCCAGCCCCACAGGAGAACCCCAGGACTCCCCAGGAAGCCAGCGACCTGGGCTGCAGCAACCTCCACCGACATATGTTGTCCAAACCGCGAAGGGCACTTGCACTGTACCCACAGCCTGTCATTAGCACTAGTGTCGGGTGCTATGACTCAGAAGAGAAGACAGCACTGGCCCCAGCTCCTCCCGCCTACACCAGAGGAAGGCTGAATCATGCTGCTGAGGCTCATTTGTGAGACAAACTGGGCTTGTAGACAAATGTTTGGCCCCTACCACCTCTTAGCATCCCACGTCCCCATCAAGAAAAATATCATCACAGCCTTCCTAAAGGAAAGATAGACTGGCTCATTTCTCTTCCTCTCTCCTTCCCTCTTCCCTCCTTCCCTCCTTCCTTCCTTATTTCTTTCCTCCCTCCTTCCTTGCTTCCTTCCTTCCCTCCCTTCTTTCTTTCTCTTCCTCCCTCCCTCCACCCTCTGTTCTCTTTTCTTCTTTCTTCCCCCTCCTCCTCCTTCCACACATTCTTTCTCTCTTCTTTCCTTCTTCCTTCCTTTCTTCTGTTTCACTCTTCCCTGTCTCTTGATTACTCTGGGCAGGGATGACGGAGTACAAGCAGCCTCACACCTCTGTGGGTAGCTGTGAGATGAATCTGTGCATTTTGTTACATAGGCCAGCACGAAGGACCCAGGACCAAGCAGGCAAAGGATTTAGTGGGGCTCCTGGCTTGGGCAGAAGACACTACTTCAGATCTCATCTATGAGTCACTCTTTTTTTTTTTTTTTTGAGCCACTCTTTAATAAAAGGGAGGAGCAGCTGTTTGAAATTTATAATATTGATAATACCACGAGTAATGATACTAACTATTTTCCATTTTTGAGGACAGAACATATATGGGGCTCTGTGTTAAGTGTGTTGCATGAATCATCCAGTTTAATCTCCAGGACAGTTATGCTAGGCAGACACCCTCACAAACCCATTTTACAACCTCACATTGGTTGTGGCAGTTGCCACGGACAAACAACTTAGAACTAGTGGGTAGTTGAACATAGGCCTGTCTGACTCCATAGCCATACCTCTGCTAAGTGGACCCGAGGCCATGATCAAAGGCAAAGGGGACACTCGGGCCAGACCATCCATAACTCAGCTGGGGAGCTGGACATGCTCCGGAACACCCGATAGGCCTAAGAGCTCTAAATGGCAGATTTCCCAAAAGTCTGCTTCTCCCCAGCCTCAGCTGCTCCCTGGTTGGACGAGGACCTCAGTCTGAATGCAGACGCCCCATTTCCCAGACTGTTAGAACCACCATGCAAATGTCTCTGTGCTGTGGGACTGAATGTCATCAGGGCAGGCAGCTCTGGGATTGGAGACCTCCTTCAAATCCAGAGTCACTGAGGCCTGGAAAGAAGTAGTCTCAATACATGCCATTTGGGGTTCATTTATATATTTTGAGACATGGTTTCACCTGGGGGGTGGTTCTCAAACCTCAGTGCCCGCAGGAAGCATGCATCCCTGGGCCCATGCCCAGCAATTTTGATGGTAGAAGCCTATGCTAATGAACAGCCCCCAAGTACTCTTTGTCCAGTGGGGAGGCCGTACATGCAAATTATTTCCCAGAGGGTCGCACACGTAGCAGTCAGGCTTCGCGGCATAGGACAGGCATAAAATCAAGGTCTCTACTTCCTGCTTTCTTTGCAGAGCTTTCCAGGGGGGCCTTGTTGGAACTGACTCAAAGCTTCTTAATAGCAATGCTCAGGGTCATAATTAAACATGTATCATCCTCTGCCTGCCCAAAGCTCTTTTCAAGCCACTCTGTCTTTCTTCTGGATCCTAGTGTCAAAATACTGGCTTGCGAGCATATTCTGTTTGGCTCACATAGGGTTAGACTTCAAAGGGTTTCAATGTGAATTTGTTGCCAACATTTTTACACTGTGAGAGTTCAGAATAAAATCTGGCTTTCTGACTTCCCTTGACATAGGGACAGGCTACAATAGGTCTTCTGGGTGGTCCCATGTCCATTGTGTGGAAGGAGTGGTGACTGCCTGTCTGGATGTGGCTGGCTCTATCCCTTTCACAGCACCACTGCTCCCTGACAGCCCTCTCCTGCACGAGGCACAGCCACTTGGCACCTTTCACCGCCTCACCCCCTCGCTTGCTCCCCTTGCTGAGGTTAGCTGCATAAACCCTGTATGCGATTAAGCCTGGGACTTCTGTCCTGAATCCAAACACAGAGCCCACTCTCCCTTTGTTTTTTGTCACTCATCGGTCTCCTTTAGATAATTATGTACACATCCTTCTTTAATAATGCACTTTAAAAATGATACTGCTTCTAACCCATTTAAGTGATACAGGTATGAAGGCTCAGAGAGGGTAAACAACTTGTCTATGATTCTGCAGCCAGCAGAAGCAGAACCAGGCTCCAACTTTGTCTCTGGGCATGTGGCATGTACATACCAAGCGGCTGCCAGGGCAGCTTCCACACCTGACACTGAGCGTGCCCTGTGGAATTGTGCAGTGCACAAACAGAAGTCCTAACATCTTTAGGTGGGCCAATTCCACAGCCAGCATTTGTCTCATTCCATCCCAGGCCCCTGCCTTTGGGCCCTAAAGCACAAAGATTTCCAAATCCATGGGTGCTCTTGCTTCTCCCCCACAGTGCTCCTACATCCCAGTCAGCCTGGACAATTACCAGATGGCCCTGGCTGACGTGGAGAAGGTCAGAGCCAATTTCCTTGAGCAAAAGGTTTTCTACTGCTTCTCGACAACTCGGGAAAATGAGACGAGCGTTCTGTACCAGCGCCTCTATGGGCCCCAAGCCCTCCTATTCTCCCTCTTCTGGCCCACCTTCCTGCTGACCGGCGGCCTCCTCATTATCGCCATGGTGAAGCTCAACCGCTCCCTCTCCATCCTGGCGGCCCAGAGGTAGACTGAACTATATCATGCCACATGTTCATTGGGTGAGTCCCTGGAGCTGTTCCCCACATGAATGCCCACCCTTCCTCCCCTGCCTCCCATTTCTCCCTCCAAGCCATCCTGTCCTCTACTGCACGGTTGACCTTTGGGAAATCTGTTAAGTAAAGTTCCTGTTCAGGAATGTACAGTGGCTCCCTAGTGCCTCAGAGAAGCCAGCCAGTAGCAGCTCTCGCCTACCTGCCCTCACTCAGTCAGCTCATACTTGCTTCCTACTGTGTCACTCTCTACCCCACAAATGACCAGGGCTGTCACCTACCTCTGTGCCTATGTTTTCCCTATTTGCTCAAAAGCCTGCCTACCCCATCCAGGAAGCTCTCCTTAGCAAACCTTAGTGCCTTCTTTTAATTCCACAATCAACACAATATCAGCTCCCACTTCCAGGGCACACTTAGTGTTCTGCTTTCCTTTTTAGCATACTAAGTCTTATCTACATTTTTCTCCCAATACTTTAAAATACTGTTATTCTTCATTATTCACAGGGAACCACTTTCAAGATCCCCTTCTGATGTCCAAATCCACAAATGCTGTGATTTAAATAGTATCTTATTATAGATAACCTATGCACATTCTCACAAATGCTTTAAATCACTTCTAGATGATGTATAAGACCTACTACAATTTAAATGCTATGCAAATAGTTGTAATACTAGACTGTTTCAGGAATAATAAGAAGAAAAATGTCTGTCCACGCTCAGGACAGATGCAATTTTTCCCCCAAATATTTTCAATCTGCTGTTGATTGTATCCACTGTTGTGGAACCTGCTGACTGTACACACAAAGTAATAAACTCAGCAAATAAACCAAAGCACATAAAAATGTTAACAGTGGCACGGTGATTACTTTTAATTTTCTTCCTTATCTCTCCCTTTTTGGGGCACATTTTCAATTTTCAACAATGGGAGGATTTTACGTGGTTTTGTTTGTTTTCAATCGGAAAAACAAAAGTAAGTGTTATCTGCGAAAAATTGAAAGGGGACTTGCTCTCCCAAAGGAAATGGGAGTGCAGTCGGGAAAGGATTTTCTCCATCAGGTTGTTAAGGATGCAATCTAGAAAACACTAGATGGGAGAACTGGACAGATAAGGACCTATGTCTGGTACTAAGACTGATGGGGAAACCTGACTCAGATCTGTAAAGGGCACAATTGGAGGATACATGACCACTACCACTGCCATTGCTGTGGTTTAAGTCTGTCCCCCAAAAGTTTATGTCGTAGAAATTTTACTTACAAATTAATAAGTTCATGATATTTAGAGGTGCGGCCTTCGGGAAGTAATTGGGATTAGATGAGGTCATGAAGGTGGGGCTCCCCTGAGGGCAGTAGGGGCTTTATAAGAAGAGGAAGAGAAACCTAAGCCAACACCCTAGTTCTGTCTCACACGTGACACCCTCCGCCATGTTATGGTGCAGCAAGAAGGCTCCAGTTGATGCTGAGTGGATGCCAGCGCCATGCTCTTGGACTTCCCAGATCCTGAACAATAAGAAATTGAATTTTTTCTTTATAAATTTCCCAATCTCAGGTATTCAGTTACAACAAGAGAAAATGAACTAAGACACATTCACAGAAGTTATTTTAAGAACAGTTATCCTCAGAATATGGCCCTGCCCCAGCTGCATCAGGATCCCATGGGAATTTGTGAGACATGTGTGGTCTTAGGTAGGACCTTCTGAAGGGCCTACAAAGCCAGTGACCCTGTGCAGGAAGGGAACAATGCTCTGTGTTTTAACAGTGGCTGCAGGGCATTGGCACACATCAAGCATGATAATTACTGGTAGGAAATAAGTCCCCGGTGACCAGACTTTTCAAAGTAAATAATTATTTCCCAGGGCAGGTTCTAGGCTGGGTGTGAAATTAGACTGGTATCTCTGAATTTCCCTCCAGTGCTATAATTCTAAGATGCAGCCTTTGGGTTTGAATCCTGTCTCTATTACTGTTAGAGTTTAACTCCCTGATTCTTATTTTTCTCATCTACAAAAGGATTCCCTTCTACTGGGAAGTTGGGGAAGCACTGAATGGAGTTCTGGCACTTAGCAGGTAACCAAACTGGAAGTTATAGTAAGTAACAGGAAGTCATGAATACCCTAAAACTTCCAGAAGAAGTTTTCTAAGTATAATGTTAAGTAGCTTTTATTGGTGCTTACTACATAGTGGGCATTGTGCTAAGTTTGTCATGTGAAAATTCAGTGAGGTATTACTGAACCCAGCTCATATCTGAAGAGAAGCAAGGCAGAACAGTGGCTAAGTGTGTGGACTTGGCATGAGTGCTATCTAGGTTCAAATACACAACCTTGCCGTTCAGTTACTGGTGATTTGGGGCAAATAGCCTTTCTATGCCTCAATCTTTTCATTAAAATAGTATAAAGAGTTATTCATATTAAGTTATTACATTAAAGTTCTTAGAATTGTGGCTGATACACAGTGTTTGCTATAGTTTGGATCTGGAGTATGCCTCCAAGTCCAGTATGTTAAAGGCTTGGTCTACTGGGTGGCATTCTTGAATGGTGATGGGACCTTTAAGAGAGGGGGCTGAGTGGGAAGTTTTCAGATTACTGGGGATGTACCCTTGAGGGGAACTAACAGTGGGGTATGCCCTTCCTATTCCTTTCTCTTTTGCTCCTTGGTCATGAGGTGAGATGCTTTTCCCTGTCATGTGCTCACCCCATGATGTGGTGCCTCACCACAGGTCCAAAACAATGTGGTCAACTGATCATGGACTGAAAACCTCAAAATTGCAAGCCAAAGTAAACTTTTTCTCCACATAAGTTATTTATTTTGGATCTTTGTTACGGTGACAGAAAGCTGACTAGCATAGGGCTATATAAGATACTATAAGAAGCTGCATGTACAAAAGGAGACTGGCCAGGCCACCTATCTAGGATAGAAGGAGTTAGGAATCAAGCCCAGGGCTACATGACTCCAGGCCCTGGCATCTCAACTGTAGTACTCACATAGACCCAGATGACAGGCCAAGGGACACAGATACCCACAACTGCAGGATCAGGTAAGGATGGCACCACATCACTGCAACCCAAAGGTGTCCTCATGCAGGGCATCAACATCTGCCACCTCCAACCAGACAGCCCAGTTGGCTCCCTAAACCTTCCAGTTCCATACCAGTAGACTTTCCTTCCAAGACCAAGAAGCTTACCACTCCCAGAGTTGCTCCTTTTCGAAGTCAGGGAGGTCTCAAAAGCCTTCTGAGTCTTCTGAGAAAGTCCTAATTGCAATATTGTACTATAGCTTTCCAAGCTATTACCACTGGGGGAAATTCAGTAAAGAGTCTCTCTAGATTATTTCTTACAAGTACATATACATCTACAATTATTCCCCAAATTTAATTTAAAGAGAGGAAGAAAAAGGTAAAAGTCTGAACTAGGAGTTTGACTTCAAGGGACTACCTTACACATGGTTTCATGTTCCTGCATTTGAGACTGAAATGCATAGAAACTCAGGCTATCCAAACAGGGAGAGGCTACATCCTTATAGAAAAATAGGTACCATGTAGGGATGCTCAGCCTCCCCTACCACATGCATTATTAATGCTGACCTTCATTTACTTGGGAAGTATATCCTCTCCCTGTCAACAGATTCTGGCCTATTTGTAGCAAATGCTACACCTGTTGGTGCTCACAAAACTTCACACATAGGATGAGCATGAAATGATGGGCATTTAAGCATGATGGATTGAGACACTGAGGAGAAATGTTTTTTGCAATAATGGCTGCTTAGGAGCAGAGAGTCCCCTACAGTTCCTAATAAGTTATTGCTAATGAGCATCTCATGCTTTCACCGTGTTTGCATTTGCTCACACATGCCAGTGACCCACACCTGGAGAGATGCACCTGGCCCACTCCACTGTATGCCCTCTCCCAGAACTCAAACCATCTGGGGGATGGAGAACAGAAGCAATGGGAGCCCTGAGCTCCTCACAGAGTTGGAAAAGACCTGTGTTTGACATCCTAATAGTGCCAGGCTTCAGACAGAGCTTCCACTCATCAGCTCAAGCTGCAACTTAAGGGATAAAGAGAGGTTGTGCTCCTACTTCTGAGGGCAAAGATTCTACATTCCCCTGCTTAGTATATCTACTTGCCATAAAGCTAACAGGTTGGAGAGGAGCAAAGAAATGAGTCAGATGCAATGCCCACCTTCAAAGCACTTCTTGTCACCTCTCCGCCCAGCCCACTCACCAATTGTCATTAATAATAACCTGAATTATGCAAATTTAAAATCAGGCAATGTGAAAAAAGTTCTTAATTTTGTTGACAATGAAATGATACCAGGTCCTCCTATAAATCAACAGTTCATCTCAAATTTCTCTTAGTGTCAAAACTTCCTGGGTAAGTGGATTGGAAACTGCTTATACTACTGCGCACTGTAAGGAAGACTGGCCCAGAAGACTCTCCAACGTCTTTGAATTAGCTTTGCACTTGGAATAGTTTAACTTCTATGGAAAATGTGGGAAAATACTGTTCAAACAAAGTCCAGCTGTCCTGTACTTCACGAGCCTTTTCACATTGTAGAGAAAAGCAAAAGAGCAAACACGTATGAGAGAGACTTGGGAACAGTCCCCAAAGTTTAGGGTAGTAGTTCTCAAAGTGGAGGCTTGCAAGGTCAGAACTCTTTTCAGAAGAATCCTAATGTATTATTTGCCTTTTTCTGCTCTCATTCCAGAGGTTATAATAATATGTGGTATCACAACAGCCTGAATGCAGAAACAGCTATGGGATTCCAGCTGCCTTAAGCTAAACATTAAAAAGATTTTTAAAAATGTAAAAAAACAATGCCACTTTTCTTAATAAGAAGTTTTTGGAAAATATAATTATTTTTCATAAAAATGTACTCTTCTACAAACTGCAATAGGTTTATTATTAGTTTAAAATAGAAAATTCAAATGAAAGACTTTTAAAGATCTTGGTTTTAATTTCTAAAATGTTAACTATTAATAGATATAGCACATACACCGAAGCTCTATGGAACCTCAATATTTTTCAAGAGTGTTAACAACCCTGATAACAGGGAGCTTCCTAACTGCTGGTCTGGTGAATCCAGAGATGAGACCCTATCTCCCTTGTATACCACATCCTGTGAAAATCTGAAGCCCTCCCCTGGGTTCCATCCAATTTCACTGAGAAAGGAAGAAGGCTTTAGTTTTCTGGTTTGCCCCTGGCACAGTTTCTGCTTCTACAAATGGATCAGTGGATGAATTACCTTCCTATCCACAAGTGCTTCCCTGATATTTGTCACACCAAACTCCAAGGTAGAATCCAGATTCTTCCTAGATGGTCCAACTCTTTTTCTCTACTCATACAAAGTATGTGTTTATTAGCTTCCTTTTTAAAGGATTTGAGAGATGGGGAAGGGAGGTATGTAGGTGCCAAGCAAACTCTAAACTGAATGTTAGACCAAATTTGTGATTCATCCTATAGCATGCTCATTCTTCCCCAATTTAAATGTGAAAGGAAATTTATAGGGACTTTGATCTTTCATGATCTCCATCATCCCACACCAACCTTCCCCACTCCCTGCACATATGAATTAAAAGTGGAGGCTTGCTAAGCATAAGCAATTTCAAGACATGTGTTCTATTTCCATGTCCCATGTGAATTCTGGAATCCCTGTAATTTGCCTATTGATTTTGCATATTCCAATACAAACCCCTGTTCTCCAACGCTCATTAGAACTTTAAAGATCATCATCTCGTGCCTTCCCAATGTATAACTTTAACCTTCTATGGTATCATAAAACAGTATTTTGGTTTTGTCCCAGTGTTCCTGAAAGAGGGAACTAAAACCTTTGTAATTGTTTGAGTGATAGGGATGCTG